AGGGTGAAGACGTGGGTGAGAAAGTTGAGGGTCTGAGAGAGAGAGAGAGAGAGAGAGAGAGAGAGAGAGAGAGAGAGAGAGAGAGAGAGAGAGATGAGGTTGATGATGTGAGGGCACGTACCTGGTCTTAGCAATGGTCTGCAAGGGTCGACATCTTCATGTACTTCCGTTCTGCTGCTGACGTAAACTGGATGCATTGTCAATCGGTAGGCTGCTAGTAGGCTGCGTGATAGTAGTCTGGCCGCTGAGCGCCAAGTAGGAGGAAGGACTCTGGATACATATGTTGGTGGTGGCAAGAGTATGCTCTCATTGACATTCGAATTCAGTGCGTTGGTTCTCCGTTAATGGAATATCAGTGCATTTCTGCTTTCTGGACAGCATTGGACTTGCTGGCTTTCAATGTGATTTTGCTTTCTGAATTTCTGTCATATTGCAACCTCTCATTTTCCTTGCATGAGGCCCAACTGGCCTACTCGCTCAGTTGGTACACCCCCGAACTGTTGAAATACAGACCCAAATTCGAACTCCATTGGAAGCAGACAAGTGAAACCCTACAACAATTCTGAATTACCTAGGGGCAGTCAGTTCGATAATGACATCTCAAGGTCGCCGCCCTTCACAAAAGAAAAAAAGAAAAAGAGAAAAAAAAAAAAGGAGCAAGGTCCTTGGAACATCTCTTTTGGTCTTCTTGCAAATGCTCGCAGGAACTGTGGGTTTGGCGGCAGCACTCTAGAACTGACATTTCATTAAAACTGACATTTTTTTCTAAATTCATGAAACTGAGCGTACAAAAAAGAACAGTATTTTTTTGCGTTTTTTTTGTCCCCATGACATCGGACTATCTGATGGTCGAGCGTTGTGACGAATCCCGATGATTGGACCCTCGGATGTATTTTGACGGTACTCTATGTTGAGATACATCAGATGGTCAAAAGTGAGATAACCACTTTCTCACCCAAAGAGCAATTAAATTTTGACTAAGTCCACTTTCGTGAATTTAGAAAAAAATGTCAGTTTTAAGGAAATGTCAGTTCTAGGGTGCTGCCACCGCTGTGGATATACCTTGTTGGGACCGAAACATTGTTCTTTTTGTTCTTACCAAAGAAACTTTGTTCTATTCAGTGCGCTTGCTGTGTCCCTTACCTAGGGCCTCACTCCACTACTCTCCAAAGGTGCAAAATGAGACGGAATCCTCTGCTAGAACATGGAAAGATACACCGATATATTTTTCATCTTATGTGCCTGTGGAGAGTAGTGGAGCGAGGGCCCTAACACACAGGTATGTGTTGTCAAAGCCATCTGGCCAGTTTTCCTCCTGTGGTGTTTGTGGAAGAAGAACTTGAAAGGTTGGAGCAGAACACTCTGATGATCTTCCCTGTCTTCATTAGACTCAACAACCAGTTCAGCAGAGGGTTTGCGTCTCCAAATTCATGTTGATTGGGAGAACCGAGTTCAGTCCGCGTCTGTGACGGTTTCAGGAATCCTTTGGTTTCCCAAGCATCGGGCAATATATCCGGCTTTGATAGGTGCAATAATTTTTGGGAGAAGTTGTAGATCACCCCCCGCAACAAAACGGTTTTACTCGTTTGCCCCTGGACCGTCGCAAAAAGGTCCAACAGACCCCCAAAAGCTGGTGGCAAAAAGTTATGGATGTGGCTCGAGCTTTTCGGGGCCTCTGACACTAAGAGGGGGGGGGGGGGCGCAAACAAGTACAAACCATTTGTCGCGGGCGGGATCTATGACTTTTCCCATAATTTCTGTGTCCTTTTCGAACAAGTCGAATCTGAGATTTTCTCACTTTTCTTACTTTCATGGACAGTGGAGATGGAGCTCTGCCTGCAGTGACAGGCTGGAGTCGCAGTGGTCCTCATTCTTATCATGTACAGCACCGGCAGTGGGCCCCCTTGAACCACCATTACGTTTCCAGCACTGCCAGCCATTTCGCGGAAGCGGGCCATGCATGCAGGTGGATTGGGCAAGATGTACCCAGGTGTCATTTCGCCCGTGAAATCCATCCAGGCAAATCAGGTCTCATGCCGTGCATGCAGGTGCGTTGGTCGGGATATACCCGGGTGCCATTTCGCCCGAAACCCATCCAGGCAAATCGGGCCTCGCATTGCCTGGATGGATATCGGTCGAAATGGCATCCAGCTACATCCCTCTCAACTCGCCTGCATGCACAGCGTGTTTCTGCAAATTGGCTGGAAAAGGTACTGGTCGTTTGATAAACGAGTTGATTAAACCACCAGTACTTGGCCCAGCTATTGAAGCCAAGCCTGAATACGCCCTGCGCGCCGATTTTTGCCGAGCCTGCCGGGGGCGGGACGCCGGGAACCAACATGGGACATTTGATGCTTGGCACAGCAACCGCCCTTATTTTGGACCTGCTGCTCCCCGCCTCTGGCGGGGAGCAGAAGCACAAACAGCCGTGAAAATTGAAAAGGGGAAAAAAAAAAAAAAAAAAAAAAAAAGGGGGAAAAGAGGTACCAAGCTGAACGTGACTGTCCTCAGATACATCCGCTGCTGCAGCGAAGTGCAGCCAGATACATTCTGGAAAGTGCTACATCCCAGTGAAGCCCTGGAATTGAAACGGTTGGCACGCATTGAATGCTCCCCGTCTCTCACGGGGAGCAGAAGCACAAACAGCTGAGATACTGCTTCCAAAAAAACAAAAACAAAAAACAGAAAACGAACAAAAACAAAAAAAAACAAAGGGGAAAAGAGGTACCAAGCTCTGCGCGTGATTGCCCTCAGATACATCCTCTGCTGCACCAAAGTGCAGCTAGATACATTCTGGCAAGTGCTACGTCACAGTGAAGCTGTTGACTTGGAACGGTTGGCAAGCAGATACATCCTCTGCTGCACCAAAGTGCAGCCAGATACATTCTGGAAAGTGCTACGTCACAGCGAAGCTGTTGACTTGGAACGGTTGGCAAGCATTGAATGCTCCCCGTGTCTCACTTCCAAAAAAACAAACAAAAAAAAAACAAAAAAAACAAAGGGCAAAAGAGATACCAAGCTCTGAACGTTGATTGCCCTCAGATTCATCCACTATGCCCACAAGTGCAGCCGGATACATTCTAAAAAGTGCTAAAGCTACAGGGCTGGCGGGCACTCTTGAAAAACCAGTTTTCTTCCAAAAAAAAAAGAAAGAAAGAAAAGCAACGATCCGTTTTTTTTTCTTCTCATGTTGCAGTTCCTTTTCTTTTCTTTTTTCCCCCCTCGTCGCCTTCAGCCTCCGAACGTTTCCACATTAGCACAGCACTAGGACATCTTACAGTCCATTCGCCCTGTTCCTGTGGGCCCACGTACGTCCTCCCCCATCGCACTGCCGGCCTTCCCCGAACCCCAAAAACTGCGGCGCGTTAAAGGGGAAGGCCCGCAGCCCATGTATGGGCCAAGTACTGGTGCTTTAAACCACCACTACCTCTGTCACTCTTGGGAAAAATGGAAAAAATGGGACAACTGGCTGCTTTCCCACTTTTCCCGAACTTTTCGGGGGTTTGGCGAGGCTCGCCCAGTTGGGCCTGGAGGGGCCCTTCGAAAAACAAAAAGTAAAACAAAAGATCATGTCAGGGAAGGCCGTGCACCAAGTTGTACTCACACTGAAACTCACACGTTCGTATCTAACCGCTTTAGTGGCCAGTTTCAGGTTTTCATTGTTTGTGTTTTTTGTTTTGGTTCTTTTTTTTGTTTTGGTGCCCCACCAGGGAGGCACGGCAGCTGCTGACACTTTGTGAAGGAGGGCATGCCCACACTATTACTTTGCAGAATGTATGCACCCACTTCCCTGCCCTAAGTTCAGTTTCATTTTTTTCCCCCCTCTTCCTTCTTTTGTGGACGTGACACCCTTGCCGTACTGCCCTCATTGAGGGCATACTCTCACAACGAATCTGGCCATGCTTTTTTTTTTCCAGGAGTACCAGAAAAGAAACAAAACGGATCCCAGGCTCGACAAAACTCAGTGCGCAGTGAAAATCAGGGTAGGGGTCAGCCGGTAGCATCAGGACCGAGCTTCTTCGATGGGCCAGTCACTGTGCCTCCCCTCCCCCTATGAACATCAGCAGTCTCTGCTCAATGCCACTCGGGGGGACCAACAGCATGGTGGGTGCAGCTCCCGGATGTTCCCTCGTTGGAGGCTTGAGCACGAATGTGGCTGCTACGGGGTTCCCCGTAATACTATAATGACAATAAAAAAGGCCTGAAAGGCCGTCCTGTCCAGATTTGAC